CATGTTCTCATATGTTTACTGTTATTACCCTGGGTTTGGCCTGGAATTCTAATTAATACTGCTGTGGTCTTATTGTTTTATCTTTTCTCAGGTCTTTTGACTGACTGCTTTTGTGATCTCTCAAGCATTTCATCCTAGCTGTTGGAGGAATGAGACCTAACTGTTTTTAGTATGAGTCTCAATTACAAAGATGTTTATCCTGAACAGACCTCACACCTGTTATTAATAGGAAAGTAAAACAATTAAAAGAGTAAAGGAGATTCAGAGTTATTCCAGCCTATCCTCTTTTCCTTGTGAATTCCCTATAAAGATTTTAGATAAGTAATTTGTAAATGCTTCTTTACCTCCCATTCCTTTTCAAGTACAAATCCCATTTGTTGCTTCCTTGCAGGGCAGAATGGCACTGAAGGGCCAGTGAATTGGAGCAAAAATAAGGACCTTTGTTCTTTAGAAACAGAAAGTTCCAAAGAAATCTATTTGTAGTAAGGTAAGTACCATGATCTTTGGTAGTTAGAGATGTAGCTGAGGTAAAGCATACTTGCCCTTACTTTGTGACCGTGTCTCCAGGATGGGGAACAGGGACTTCCAGGGTGGACCAGACAGTTCTGACCAAAGGACAACTGCAATCTGTTTAATCTTTCTCCACTTTCTTCTGCCTTCCAGGTGAATAAAAAAACCTCTGTCATCTCTACATGGTTACTGTTAAACTCCAACACAGGCCTATTTCTGCAGATGAAATATACCTGGGGTGTTTCAGAAGCTCCTTTACTGACTGTGTTTCTACTAGTCTCACTTGTTCAGTGGCAGTTACCAAAAAAGTTCCCATGTTCTTGCTTCTTGTTCCAGGATGCAGTAATATAATGCCAGGTTGAAAGAGAGAAGTTATAATATGTCACTAACCAGAAGACCTCGAGGAAACTTTTGACCACAGTGCTAGCTGCATTGTGCAATTCTGACTCTGATTTCTGTTCTGGACCAATTCACCTCTCCTCAGCTTAATGTTTCTCACTTTCATGTGGTCTGGAGATGCACTTTTGATCTAGTCTTCTGGAAATCTGTGCTTTAGTTACCAATATGCATTAGATGTTTGGGTATTATATCAACTAAGGCTCTCTTTTTCTTAGTTTGAGATTAGGTGG